GATTGAATACACGAAATACTCGCGACACACGGCCCGACCAAATTTGACAGAAATAGCTAATTTTGCCACTTAATACGACATATATTGACTTCTACAACGAGTTGACAAACCCTCCTTAGCTAACGCAGTAGTTTGATAGCATCTATAACGTTCAGAAGTTATACGGGTGAGCCTATTATATCGTATTCAAGCGACAGCAATATATAAGAAAATGTACGTATAAAACATACTTGATAAATTTCCTACTTTTTATAATGTCATTTGCATGAGGTATTTAACAGCTAACCAATACGTACTTAACTGGATAAATGACACAATGCATTGTAATATTACTATTTATATTACTATTAACTCGATATTTAAATATTGATCATTGATACCATACTTAATTACAATATATTTCAAAGATCGCAATTATTATTGAAGAACATATTGATAATATACACTACTTTCTTTAATAAAATGGGGTGTTTCTGTAGCGAGCCCTATATTTGTGGAGTGGTGAGTAGGTGAAAAAAAATACTGCTATTGTTAATAATAAACTTTTTGACCGATGTATCACTCTGCACTATATATGTTTAGTTCTCTGTCTTTTATGTGGTTTAATAAAATAATTATGCAATTTTTATTTCTTAAATCATCTTCGTATAAGCAGTTCTGTTGTTTCTGGTCTGTATTATTAATTTTTCTAAGAAAACTAAGCGATGAAATGAGGTTGTATTCATATGCTATGCATAAGAGTATAGTTTTATCTAATGCATTTATTGCGTTGCACTGAGTATTTTGTGCTAATACAGTGTATAGTTGCAGACGAAGTTACTATGACAACGATTTTCTTGCAGCCACTGTGAATTGGGTCTACATAATCACGGCATGATCATGTCATTTTGCGCTTTGAGTACCGAACATTAAGCTTGACCAAACCTCTACGTGTACGATAAAGGTCCACAAAAACAAGGAGCAACCATAATAGCATGTTGGCATTTTCCGCAATACTACCCCAAAAAATACCTGCACGATTTATTTATCGCATTTAACTTACTGTGCTTTGAAACCGGCACGCAGGGGTGGTGTCTTTCATTGCAAAAAGCACGGCGCTCTAACTTCAAATTGTGGATGTAGATCCACATATTATATCATACTTCCAACAAGTCGGAAGTTATCGCGTTAAGCAATCTTTGTGCTTTAGTCATACCTCCACGCAGCATTTGCCTGATTATTAACTATGCAGTAATTCACTTACACCGTCTCTGTGAAAGGTAAATTTTACACATCTTTTTATCAAATAATTACTAATAGTAATAGATATCGTCTGTTGTTTTGGGTAGCTAAACTAGTGTTGTGACCCGGGTCAACTTTTGGCCAACCCGACCTGACTTGGGTTAACAGGTGCCCAACCCGGGTCAACCTGAGAAACAGGCCTAACATTTACTATCGGACTCGGGTTACTCGGGTTGCCTGTATATAAGATAGGCATTTAGCCAAATCTCACTG